ACGCTACACTATTTTATTCTTTGTTAGTCCTCACCCAAGGGTATTTTTCCATTGAATTTTAGAGAGACTGGAAGGGAGGGAGAGGGAGAGGAGAGAGGGAAAGATCGATGTGAGAGACACACATCGATTGGTTGTCTCCTGCATGATTCCAACCAGGGCTGGGGATTGAACCTGCAACCCAGGTTACCTGCCCTTGACCTGAACTGAACCTGCGACCCTTCAGTCTGAGGGCTGAAGCTCTAACTGCTGATCCAAACCGGCCAGGGCCACTGTACTGTACTTTTAATCATTACTTAGTGCTTTCTTTCTACTCATACAAAAAGTTCCTTGTAGCGCCGTGTTGCACCAGCAGCTGTCTCGGACGCCTCGTGGTCACAGTGTCTCTGACGGCATCACTTTCTCCTGTGCTGGACTCAATCTTGCCATCTTGTAACTCCGGCGCAGCCTGAGTGTCAGGGTTCACGAACTCTACAGCAGTGCCTAGTGATGTCGAGGTCTTCACCACCCCACTCACGCGCCGCTCCCCAGAGCAGCCCGTCCTGCGGGCTCCATCGCCTACGTTTCATTCTGTATTTACACTTCTGGATACAGAAACACTCCCCCTGGTGTCACCACGCCTACAGAATTTAGAAACATGCTGCACACGTTCATGGCCTGGGTGTGCACACGGCGTTCACGCAGGGGTAGAGTCACCAGGCCGCACCCTTCACAGCATGTGTCCTGGGTGTGCACACGGCATTCACGCAGGGGTAGAGCCACCAGGCCACACCCTTCACAGCACGTGTCCTGGGTGTGCACACGGTATTCACGCAGGGGTAGAGTCACCAGGCCGCACCCTTCATGGCACGTGTCCTGGGTGTGCACACGGCATTCACGCAGGGGTAGAGTCACCAGGCCGCACCCTTCACAGCACGTGTCCTGGGTGTGCACACGGCGTTCACGCAGGGGTAGAGTCACCAGGCCGCACCCTTCACAGCACGTGTCCTGGGTGTGCACACGGCGTTCACGCAGAGGTAGAGTCACCAGGCCGCACCCTTCACAGCACGTGTCCTGGGTGTGCACACGGCGTTCACGCAGAGGTAGAGTCACCGGGCCGCACCCTTCACAGCACGTGTCCTGGGTGTGCACACGGCGTTCACGCAGGGGTAGAGTCACCGGGCCGCACCCTTCACAGCACGTGTCCTGGGTGTGCACACGGCGTTCACGCAGAGGTAGAGTCACCGGGCCGCACCCTTCACAGCACGTGTCCTGGGTGTGCACACGGCGTTCACGCAGGGGTAGAGTCACCAGGCCGCACCTTCACAGCACGTGTCCTGGGTGTGCACACGGCGTTCACGCAGAGGTAGAGTCACCGGGCCGCACCCTTCACAGCACGTGTCCTGGGTGTGCACACACGGCGTTCATGCAGGGGTAGAGTCACCGGGCCGCACCCTTCACAGCACGTGTCCTGGGTGTGCACACACGGTGTTCATGCAGGGGTAGAGTCACCGGGCCGCACCCTTCACAGCACGTGTCCTGGGTGTGCACACGGCGTTCACGCAGAGGTAGAGTCACCAGGCCGCACCTTCACAGCACGTGTCCTGGGTGTGCACACGGCGTTCACGCAGAGGTAGAGTCACCAGGCCGCACCTTCACAGCACGTGTCCCCGCTGGGAGCAGCGCAGCAGTTGCTTGCTTCCTTCATCCACTCAAGGTTCCTGATTGATTCCAAACCACGCTGCCCACCTCACTTTGGATACAGTGTCATTTTAAAGAAGATTTAAAGATATCTTTTTTTTTTTATCCTCACCCAAGGACATTTTTCCATATTTTGTTCAGATAGAGAGGGAGGGAGGGAGAGAGAAACATCGATGTGAAGGGACACATCGAGTGGCTGCCACCCGCACGACCAACCAGGACCGGGGACAAACTGCAACCGAGGTACGTGCCCTTAGCGGGAACCGAACCCGGGTCTCTCTGGACCGCAGGCCGACGCTCCAACCGCTGAGACAGACCGGCCAGGGCTGAAGACATCTGTTAACATCTGTGTCAGGAGCTAAGAGCGTCGCCATGGCTGGAGAACGTCTGTTCCTAGACAACCCGGATGAGCGGGCGCCGCTCCAGCCCCTGTCTGAACAGGAGTCTCCCTGGGAGCGACGGCGCTGACTTAGCATGTGCTTCTCCCTTCACCGAACGAATGCGAATTTCTGGAATCATGCCGACTTCCTGCCTGTCCGTCACTTCTCTTGACTTGGTTCAAAGGAAGTGGGAGGGGTGGAGGACGGGGGCAGGATGCATGTCACAGATTTATTCAAATGTATAGAAAAATGCGTATTTTGTATATATTAATATTCATAAACTTAGTGAATGCCATCTGCTTTTTTGGATTCATTAGCAGTCTTGCTTTTTTATAATACCCAACTACTAAGAATACATGAAGTTTTAATGATTTGTTTTTTTTTTTTAGAGAGAGAGGAAGGGAGAGGGAGATAGAAACAACTATGTGAGGAAGAAACAACGATCGGCCGCCTCCTGCATGCCCCCCACTGGGGATCGAGCCGGCTGCCCGGGCATGTGCCCTGACCGGGAATCGAACTGGGACCTCTCAGTCCATGGGATGACTGCTCAATCCACTGAGCCACACCGACAGGGCTACATGGACTTTTAAATACACATTGTGGGATATTTATCTAAAGTTTACTGATGCATTAAAAAAAGTTTACTGCCCTGGCCAGTTTGGCTCAGCAGTTATAGAGCGTCGGCCTGCGGTCCGGAGAGACCTGGGTTCAGTTCCCGCTAAGGGCACGTACTTCGGTTGCAGTTTGTCCCCGGCCCTGGTTGGTAGTGCGGGTGGCAGCCACTCGATGTGTCCCTTCACGTCGATGTTTCTCTCTCTCCCTTCCTCTCTCTCCCTCCCACTCTATCTGTACAAAAAATGGAGAAATATCCTCGAGTGAGGATAAAAAAAAAAAAAAAAGTTTACTCAGTCCAACCTATATCTCCCTCTCCCTCTAAAAAAAAAAATCAGGGGGTGGGGTGGGGGGTGCCAATGGGGTAAAAAGGTAAAATATCTGTAACAAAAAAATAAATAAATAAATAAAATTCAAAAAAAAAAAAAATCAATAAAAAAAATATTAAAAAAATGAAAAACTTACTTACATTTAAAGCTATTAAAAATAGGGGAGAAGGCCCTGGCCGGTTTGGCTCAGAGGTCAGAGCGTCGGCTCGCAGAACAGAGTCGTGGGTTCAATTCTGGTCAAGGGCAGGTACCTCGGTCGCGATTCGGTACCGGCCCTGGTCGGGGTCGTGTAGGAGGCAGCCAATCCATGTCTCTCTCACATCGGTGTTTGTTTCTCTCTCTCTCGCTCCCCCCGCCCCTTCCCACTCTATCTGAAGACAGATGGAAGAGAACCCTCAGGCGAGGATTTAAAAAAATAAAAAAAGGGGAGAAATACAGTTGTTTCTTCATTGACTATATCCTATACGCTGCACATTTTAAAAATAGCAACATGTAAATGTCTGTTTTTATAGTTAGTGCAATTAAAAAATTTAAAGTAAAGCTACTGATAATTTTGTTAAAAGCAAGGCACTTCATCATACAAAGTACACAGTCACAAGACAAAGACCTTTACCTTGGAGGTTCTCAGCCAGGTCAGGCTCGGGCGGCCCGGGCCCTGAGAAGCACGCGGCGCCTACACGCTTTCTGCTCTAGAGAGAGGCTTGCAGAGGGACCTGTCATTAATCCTGCTAATCAGGTCAATCAGCAAATTAAAACAAGCAATTCTGTGTGTGCTGTCGCTCGACTGTTTGCAGTGCAGGTTAAAATCAGGCTCGAAGCAGGCCCTAGACGTTTGCTCAAGATCAAGGTAACACTCAATGTCAGGACACCACACCCCAGCGCAGAACGGAGAGCGGCTGGGTTCCGTCCAGGGACACTGCGCACCTCCTGCGGGGGCTGCACCGGGACGCGTCGCTACGCCGACGCCTCCAGGCATCTAAGAGCTGCAGCAACAAGGCCGCCAGGCGAGTCCAGCGCATGGAACAAACCTGTCACGTCTCGTGCTCTTCCTACGTGCGGCTCTGCGTCACTCACAACAGCCTTGCGAGGTGGGCGTCGTCACCCCGTTTACAGAGGGGAGATGGAGGCTCTGGCGTGGTGACATGTCACCCGCACTATGAGGAAAGGTTGAGGTGTTTGTTGGCAGAGTGAAGGACAAGCAGGAAGCGTGAGCTTTCAAGTCGTAGGTGGTGGTCACCCAGACCACTTTCCCTCCTAATACCCAAATCCTTTGAATTATTTATTTAAATGTTTTAATCCTCACCCGAGGATATTTTTACATTTATCTTCAGACAGAGTGGGAGGCAGAGAGAGAGAAACATCGATGTGAGAGAGACACATCGAGTGGTCACCACCCACAGGACCCCAACCAGGGCCGGGGTGAACTGCAACCGAGGTACTTGCCCTTGGCTGGAATCAACCTGGGACTCTCTGGTCCACGGGCCGACGCTCTAACCACTGACCCCAACCAGCCAGGGATACCAAGTCCTTTCATTAGAACCATGAGAACTCACAAAAGAGCCGTATATGTTTTGGAAGTTCCTAACAATGTGAACTTGACTTATAGCATAGAATCTACAAAAAATGGAGACTCACATGTCCTCCGGTAGTGAATTCATAATGGATGTGACTCTTCTTTGGCACTAACGTGTAAATAAACATGGCTTTCAGCATGCACTTGTCCAGAGGTCAGGCTAACCCTTCCGCTATGAGCTGGCCCCACTATAACCCGGCTGTAGACTTCCCTGCAAACGGGTGCCCCTGGATTCAGCCATGACAGACACACGTGGCCCAGAGGGCTCTTCCCCGCGCCAGGAGTCGACCGCGCTCCGTCCACAACACTGGAATAGCATCTGTAAAATCTGCAGTAGTTCTGAAGACACTGGAGTCATGTCCTGATATGGGGAATTAATGTGACTAGGGCAGAGGGCGGGGAGAATGTGAAAGATGGAAACAATCTTACCAAAGTCTGCAAATGCTGACTGGCCAACCACCACCATATTTTGAGGTTTTTCAAATATAGTGCGGAGAGAGAAATTTCCATCCTGTGAGAGGCAGAAAATTTTGGATTAGACCATCATAATTCATTTGTCAAGTGTGAAAGAAAGCATTTTAACTAAAGCAGGGAAATAAATAATTTTAGGCTCTTGTACTGCACAAAAACCGTTCCAGTTTCCTGTTCCACTTTTACCACAAAACGGAGGAAGCGCTGTGAGTCGAAGACCCGCCTCGGACGGCCTCCCTGCTGTCGATCCAGTGCGCAGTCTCACCGAACCGTCACCCTGACCTCAGACACTGAGTGCCCTCTACCCCATGCACCATAGCAGACGCTGGAAACACCCAGAACTATAAAAAATAGCTCCTGCCCTCCAAGGGCTCACAGTCCCACTAGGAGACAGGACCTGACTCAGGAAAACAGGATTTCTGAAGGTGACCTACCAGAGGTACAGTCAGCAGCAAAGACACCATGTTCTACAGAGTTTGAGGGGAAAAGATTCTGTTGAGGGCAATTAAGAAAAGATATTCAGCCCTGGCCGGTTTGGCTCAGCGGTTAGAGCGTCGGCCTGCGGTCCCGAGAGACCCGGGTTCGGTTCCCGCTAAGGGCATGTACCTCGGTTGCAGTTTGTCCCCGGCTCTGGTCAGTCGTGCGGGTGGCAACCACTCGATGTGTCCCTTCACGTCGATGTTTCTCTCTCTCTCTCTGTTCCTCTCTCCCCCTCCTACTCTACCTGAACAAAAAATGGAAAAATGTCCTCGGGTGAGGATAAAAAAAAAAAAAAAAAAAAAAAAAAGAAAAGATATTCAAATGAGATGAGAATTATTGATTCTTAAAGGGCCCATTCATGCCCTGGCCGGTTTGGCTCAGCGGTTGGAGCATCGGCCTGCAGACCAGAGAGACCCGGATTCGGTTCCCACTAGGGGCACGTACCAAAAAAATAAAAAGGGCCCCTTCATGATCGGCTCCAGCTTCCGTACCGCGAGCGGGGAGGAAAGGCTCACACCCTGTCCCTGCTAACCAGAGGGGGTGAAGCTCAGGCGAAGGAGAACCCGCCAGAAACCCGCCGCTCAGCTCTCACCAAACGCGCTGGACGCGCTCAGACGACTGCCTCCCTTCACAGCAGTTCAGACCCCACACGAGGAAACGCGCCAGAACACACATCTGGGGTTCGAGCTCTGGGCCTTCCTGAGCTCTCTTCTTGCCACTTGATATACTGACTCCCGCACCCTTCACAGAGGTCACCTGTCTATTCCAGAGCGTTAAACACACAAGTGCTCTGCTCCTCCACAGATCTGTGCCTCTGCCGTCCCTGCAGGTGGGCTTCCTGCGGTTACCTGCGGTCACGGAGGAAGGAAGACCACCTGCTGGAGGACCACGAGCCAGTGCCTGGACCGCGCCTGCGACAGGCGGTCTCCAGCCGCGGTGGCCACCCTGTCCGCAAGTGGCAACGCGCTCCCCCACTGCCACTGAGGTGTCCGATGCGCTGTCTCAGTGGTTTCCCTACAGAATTCTTCTTTCCCAAACGGGGTCCCCGTCTTACAGAGTGCCTGAGAGGACAGCAGAGACGCCCAGAGTGGCCAGGCTTCTGACTGCAGAGTCATGTGTCTGGCATTCGGGAAAGGTCAGAGCACCGGGCCCAGAGGGGACACCATGATTCTAGAATGAACAGAAAATCTCTCTTAAACGGCATAAGCCTCATGGAACACAAAGCTGGATGCCAACCCCTTACAGTGACTCCAGTGAACATCCTGCCCACGAAGCTGCTGAACGTGGTCAGTACACCCAGGAAGGTTTCCACTATGACCATGACGCCGCCTCAGGAACCAGTGAGTCCTTCCCAGGTGCCGGCCTCCCTGAGATGCCTCCCTCCCTCCCGGGGCCTCAACGGGACCCTCCTGCAGCTGGAGGAAGAGACCGTTCTGCCAGCGAGGACGTGCGGGATGCATCACACACGACGTGACGGGGGCAGCACCCCGTGGGCCTGACCCTCCCATCGCCGTCACTGCGGTGATGACTCCGTTCTGCCAGCGAGGACGTGCGGAATGCATCACACACGACGTGACGGGGACAGCACCCTGTGGGCCTGACCCTCCCATCGCCGTCACTACGGTGATGACTCCGTTCTGCCAGCGAGGACGTGCGGAATGCATCACACACGACGTGACGGGGGACAGCACCCCGTGGGCCTGACCCTCCCATCGCCGTCACTGCGGTGATGACTCCGTTCTGCCAGCTGAGGACGTGCGGAATGCATCACACACGACGTGACGGGGACAGCACCCCGTGGGCCTGACCCTCCCATCGCCGTCACTGCGGTGATGACTCCGTTCTGCCAGCGAGGACGTGCGGAATGCATCACACACGACGTGACGGGGACAGCACCCCGTGGGCCTGACCCTCCCATCGCCGTCACTGCGGTGATGACTCCGTTCTGCCAGCGAGGACGTGCGGGATGCATCACACACGACGTGACGGGGACAGCACCCCGTGGGCCTGACCCTCCCATCGCCGTCACTGCGGTGATGACTCCGTTCTGCCAGCGAGGACGTGCGGGATGCATCACACACGACGTGACGGGGACAGCACCCCGTGGGCCTGACCCTCCCATCGCCGTCACTGCGGTGATGACTCCGTTCTGCCAGCGAGGACGTGCGGAATGCATCACACACGACGTGACGGGGACAGCACCCCGTGGGCCTGACCCTCCCATCGCCGTCACTGCGGTGATGACTCCGTTCGGCCGCCCACACCTACACAGTTCAACTCCGTTCAGTGAATGTCAATTACGAATTTAGTATTTGCTAAACATGACTCGACAAACTTCGTAATCAATGTTATTACTCTTAGTAGATACCACATTTTGGTGCATTTAAAACATTTTTTTCCTTTATTGATTTTAGGAAGTGAGAGGGAGAGAGAGATAGAAACATCGATGAGAGAGAATATCGACTGGCCGTCTCCTGCACACGCCCCACTGGGGATCGGGCTCACAACCTGGGCACGTGCCCTGACTGGGAATTGAACTGGGGACCTCTTGGTGCATGGGTCGACGCTTAACCATTGAGCCACACTGGCAGGACAATAGATACCACATTTTAAAGTGACATGTGACAGCACTTACTGTCAATATACCTACTGCACGTAGGAAAGGCACTGTGGTCAGTACTCCTGTACTGAGCGCATGGAAGTCTGGTGGAAGGGCCCTGGGCATCGAGTTAGAGGACACAGGCCTGCTCTCACGTGTAAGCTATATCACTGCGGATCAGCCACCTGCCGCTCTGGGTCTCGGTTCTCCGGCTGTTCGAGGGGAAATGAACTATTTGTGGAGTGATCGACTGGAAAGTGTTCTGCTACACGTGAACTTCCCACAGCAGTTCTGTGCTCATGAGTGGCAAGCGCTTTTCCCATGGGCTGCTGTGTGAAGCCTTCAGTCTGTCCCATCCTCTGCCACTGCCGTTCTGGCCTTCACTGTACTCCTGCAGCCCCTGCACCCCTCACTGGGGAGCTGCTGCAGCTGCACCCTGTGGCTTCCTTGGTCTGAAGGGCTGCACCGTGACTTCAGGGTAGAAGCTCTAGAGACCGACTTCTAGTTGAGCTCCCAGCTCCACTCTTTGCTTAGCCTGGAGGTCTGAATAAATTACTTCTCATCTAAGCATCCATATACTCATCTCTAAAACATATTTGTACAAGGCTTTTGTGGGGATCAGTGAGATGATGTGTATAAGGGGCTCACTAGCAAGTGCACGCAGCGTGCATTTTGTTAGCACCTCAATGGAACAGCAGTCACACCACCACCACCTCCACCTCCTCCACCACCACAAGCTCCATCTCCTTCACTTCCTCCACCACCACCTCCACCACCACAACCTCCATCTACTTCACCTCCTCCACCACCACCTCCTCCACCCCCACCACCTCCTCCACCTCCTCCTCCTCCACCACCTCCTCCTCCACCACCTTCTCCTCCACCTCCACCTCCTCCACCACAAGCTCCATCTCCTTCACTTCCTCCACCACCACAACCTCCATCTACTTCACCTCCTCCACCACCACCTCCTCCACCCCCACCACCTCCTCCACCTCCACCTCCTCCTCCTCCACCTCCTCCTCCACCCCCACCACCTCCTCCACCTCCACCTCCTCCTCCACCACAACCTCCATCTCCTTCACTTCCTCCACCACCACCTCCACCACCACAACCTCCATCTACTTCACCTCCTCCACCACCACCTCCTCCACCCCCACCACCTCCTCCACCTCCTCCTCCTCCACCACCTCCTCCTCCACCACAACCTCCATCTCCTTCACTTCCTCCACCACCACCTCCACCACCACAACCTCCATCTACTTCACCTCCTCCACCACCACCTCCTCCACCCCCACCACCTCCTCCTCCTGCACTACCTCCTCCTCCACCACCTTCTCCTCCACCTCCACCTCCACCTCCTCCTCCACCACAACCTCCATCTCCTTCACTTCCTCCACCACCACCTCCATCACCACAACCTCCATCTACTTCACCTCCTCCACCTCCTCCTCCTCCACCTCCTCCACCTCCACCTCCTCCTCCTCCACCTCCACCTCCTCCTCCACCAGCACTCAATCACTGCCCACAGCGACTGAGAGGTAGCCACCTGCATTTTCTGCTTGGACCCCACAGTGCTGTGCTGGAACAAGCACTGTTCCATAGCTGGCTGCCTGTGCTTGGGTTTGCATGCGTTAACATTTAAGATTAAACGCTACATTTATGATGTTAGAGAATGATAAGGAAGCACGCGAAATGACTGCCATCTGTCCACATCTTTATTCACGGGGTTGTTTTGTTCCCCAGGGGACGCGGGGCGATGTCCGGGACACGGCTGTCTCAGCGGGGAGATGGCCACTAGCACCAGGGAGCAGAGGGCAGGGTACGGAACAACCCGTAGTGCACAGGGCAGCTCCGCAGACCAGGCACGAGGCCTGATGCGGCGCCGGTGCCGAGAGCAGACGTCTGGCCCTGAGGGTGGCGGTGCTGCCAGGGTCTGGCTTTGCCTTTTCACTCTCCCG